ATATGATAAATACAAAAGAAGGCAGAAAGAAAAGGAACAAGGAACAGATAGGACAAATAGGAAACAAATAGTAGTATGATAGACATAACCCTAGTATGTTTTAATCACATTAAATATAAATGACCTAAGACTTCAAGTAAAAGACACAGATTGTTAGACTAGACAAAAAAAGCAAGATCTTGCTTAAAAGAAATGCAATTTAATAAAAAGACATGCAAGTAGATAAGTAAAAAGATGAAAACATACTGTAATAACCACTAATCAAAAATACACTAATATCAGATAAAGTAGATTAGAAAACAATATTTTCAAGCATTAAAAATGTCATTTCATAATAATAAATGAATCAGTTTATCAAGAGAACATATAGTCCTAAATATCTATATATCAACCAACAGAATGTCCAAATATAGGACGTAAAATCTGAAAGATCTGCAAGAAGAAATACACAAATCTATAATTATAAATGAATAACTGATAAAAGAAAATGGACTGAAAATCCACACGGACACAGAAGACAAGACACAGCATCATCCTTCTTGGCATGACTGGCATCTGGAGAACACGCCATCCAACCACAGGACACACATCCTTTTCAAGTGCAACCAGTGAACTTTCCAAGGTCCATAACTCTGGTCCATCAATCGAGGCAATACATGGAAAGGGACTCTGATCAAGTACAAAGGGTCTCTGATCATTGTGAAAATAAATCACAGATCAATAACAGAAAAATCTCCAAATAACTGAAAACAAGAACACATTTCTGAGTAATCAATGAGTGAAAGATTATCTCCATAGAAAAAGAAAAGCGTTTTACAAAATACAACATTTGTTCTTGATTTTTTTTTACATACAGGAAATTAGAAATAAAAGTGAACTTTCTCAGACTAAAAGGCATTTATAGAAAATCTACAACTAAGATCAGAATTAGTGGAAAGACTAAATCCTTTCCCTCACCTAAGATCGGGAATAAGACAAAGATGTCTGCTCTTGCAACCTTTACTCAACATTGTACTGTACTGGAAGTTCTCACTGGGGCAATCAGGAAATAATAAGGAGTAAAAACATTTAATATGCAATGTGAGAAGCAAAGCCGTCTTCTATGCCGACAATACGATCATCTGTAATGAACACATTCACCTAGTAAGTGAAGACAGCAAATCTACAGGGTGTAACATCAGTATAGAAAATCCAGTTTATTTCTCTATACCAGTAATCGATAATTGGGATTAAAATTTTAAAAATAATGTCACTTACAACAGCATCAGGAATATAAAGTAGAAACGGTGCTACCAAATCATAATGTAAGACACAACGAAAGTTTGCTGACAAAAATTAAGGAAAAGCTAGACAAGCTGAAAAATACACGGTGTTGGTCAGGAGACGCACCACTGTTAGGGTGTCACTTCTCCCCAGATTGATCTTTTTCAAGACTTAACCCAGCCCAGACATTTTTAGACAGAAGCTGGGGCTGAGGATGTGGCCTGCACAGGGAGGGCATGGAAGGCACACACTCCTTCCCGATCCTATACCTTGCCCTATGCGTTTCCATCCAGTTGCTCCTAAGGAGAGTCCTTCATAGTAAAGTGCTAAGCACCCCCAAAGACACGCGACTCCTCACCCCACCTGCGGCCAGAGGCCAGGCTGAGGTGCTGGCTAGATCTGTGGCTTTACCCTCAGACATCACACTGACTTAGTACAGGGAGGACCAAATCCTGGACACGAAGTTTACAAGAGAGACCAGACCCACAGGAGACAGAAGCTTCCAGGAGGTGCGGCCATGGTGGTGTCTCTGGAGAGGAGCAGAAGTGCGCATGCCAAGTACAACACATGGGCTGCCTGAGCTCACTTCCCTGAGATGGGACAGCACCCTCAGTCCCTCATCCCATCAGGAGGGTTCTTACCAGTCCAGTTCTCCTCAGAGATGTGGTCACTGGAGCCGTGACCACTGGTGTGATATGAAGAAAAAAGACTTCAGGTGAAAAAGTGGAGAGCTGTGCTCATGCTACAGGCAGTGGCAGGGCTCACGGCTCCCCCGTGACTCTTGCCGCTTTTACATCATGCAGTGGCTGCCTTTCTGTGGGGCGAGATTAGTGGATTCAAGACCCCGACTCCAGTTTCTGCAAAAGGCATCCTGTGCCTACCTTCCCCAAGGATAACGTGGAAATGCGCACCCCAGCCATCCTCTCCCACACTGACCTGTGGCCCCACCCCAACTCCCTGAGGTCTCTGTCCCAGCAGAGGTTCAGCTGTGACAATTCCATCTTTATCTTAACTCATATTGCACGGAGATTCAATTTCCTACTTCCTCCTCAAAAATAAGAACTTGGGCCTGAATTTGCTTTTCCAAAACTGTTTACCTAAGAAGTTGATTAGTTGGTGGAAGGAGGAAAAGATTCCTAAAATTTGACAGTAGAAATCAATGGAATACTTGAAAACTTTTTCTAGAAAAAAAAAGCTTTGATCTGTACTTTGTATCATGTGTAAAAAATGAACACAAAATGGAATGCAGATCTAAATAGCCTAAAACTATCTCCTAGAACATATAGAGAATATCTTTATGACTTTATATGAACCAAAGATTTCTTGAGTATGACACTGATAAAGAAATAATGAACAACAGGGAAGGCCTTGGCCCTTTCCTTCCTACCATGTTTTTGCCATAAAACATAACTGTGCTGCACCCTGCCCAATGTGTCAAAATGTTCTAGCTAAGGAATGTATCTGTGTGCGCCTCCCAAAGTATCAAAGTGTCCTGTTCGAACAATATAACTGTTAGCACATGGTGTTTCTACCTAAGGTTTCAAAAATGTTAACTGGAACTGGAGAGGTTCCTGCCTCTAGCCATGTCTCTACCCTAAAAGGTTCCTCTCGACTTCCTTTCCCTCACTGTATATAAACTCACTCTTACCACACCTCTGGGCTCAGAATTCAGGGTGCTTAAAACTCCTCTAAGCCAGCCGGCTACATAAAGCTTGGTTTTTCTTCGCCTCTTTCAGTGGCTTTCGGATTCTCATGTGTTCAAACTGTTGTAGCTGTGACACAGCTGTAGTACTTCGCTCTAAGGCTGAGCCGGCTCACTTTCCTCTAACAACACTAAAACATGATGCATAAGAGAGAAAAAGAGATAAATTGAATTTTTATCAAAATTGTGTTGGTCATAGTTTTATTTGTAGTACCAAGTACTTGAAGTAATTGAAATATCCATCAACCAAAATAAATACTCCAATTGTAGCTTTTAGGAGAAGCACTGCAGAATTTTTCATTTTATGGTCAGGAAGAAAAAAGGCCCACATATTTTAAAGCATTCTGCATTGAGCATGGTGCGTAAGGACTTCTGAATTCCAGGTCTTTCTTCTCCACTAAGCTGCTCTTTGCTCCTCAGAAGGAAGAGGTAAACAGAGATTGGAATGGGAGGGGGAGACAGGGAGCTGGCCTTTTACTTGCAGTGCAGCTGATTTTCTCCTGCGTGCGGCATGTGAGATCAGACACAGCTCACCGTCACCAAAGGTACTGACTCCAGCGGGTCTGATCTGTGTGAGAAAGCGACACACTGCCCACGAACATGAGAGTCCGTGCTGCCCTCGCCATGCTAAGGGCTCCTGCACCCTTCTTGCTCTGGGCTGTACTTCAGAGCTTCCTCACGCCACGTAACCGGGAGTAGCACCATTTCTCCCGCCCCGTGGGGAGGCGTCGGGGAGGCAGACAAGGGAACTGGCCAAAGGTGTACAAAGATATTTCACATCACCCTACCACAGACGCCACCCTATAACTGCCACCTGTCAGCGGAGTGACCTCAGGTGAGTTTCCTCACTACTGGGAGCCTCAGTTTCTCCATCCACAGACTGGATTTAATAATGGTGGTCTTCCAGAGGGTCAAGAATAACCTGTGTATAACTCCTTCCCTAGGAACTGGAGCTCCCTCCGTAATAAATATTATCACTATTAATGCTCTTAAATTGATGTGTGTGCCATAAAATGCATATATTTACATTACAAATCAACCTCTTGAATGAATGCAAAGCAGCAATCATATTACTTTAATTAACTTGCCGTGCCAGAGGTAAGAAAAAGAGCGACATCAGCATTTTCCCTCAACGTGTCTGTCATAAATTAGGCCATCTAAGTACGTGTTTGTCCCCACCCCGCGGGCGCACAGGGCCGGCTAGAGAGGGTGGCACATAAATTCCCTGCTGCTCTGCCCTCACGCCCTTTGCTGAGAGGGGCCTGCTCGGGGTGTCTGCCCCTGAGTTGTGTGATTGTGACTCCAACCTTGCAAACCTCGACACGGAGCAAAGGGTCTGGGTTTCCATCAGGCCCTGCCAGTGGGTCTCTGCGTGTGACATATTCATTCCTGCCTCTTCCTGTAAAGATAATTCATGCTCCTTGGCAGCATTGTACAGGGCACAATGCCGGGTGCCAGGAACTCCTGCAAACTTCAGCAGGGCTGCATTGTAATGTGCCGCTAGATTAATCCAGCCATCTAAGATGCATTTTTAAAAAGCCAGAGGTCTTTCCCATGAATAACCTGGCAAGTATTTGAGCTTCATTATAATTTCCCTCTAATGGAGTTTGGGGAAATGAAATGGGAGTTATTAGCCAGATTTATAAGGCTGTCTCCTGAGAAAATAGGGATGAAGAGGGGCTGACTTAGCAGACAAGGTGCACTGGCTATCTACCTAGCACAGGAGAAGGAACTGGCCTGCAGTTTGCAGAGAAAATATAATGCTTACCCAACAACTGCTTTTCCTGTGCTCTTGACAGAGGGCTGGCTATGCCTGGGACCCAGGAAGCACAGAATACATTTCCTTGGATTCAACAGATCACTTAAGAGACCATCATATTAGTGGTCCAGGTAGAGCAGGCACAAAACTCTTGATGGCCTTTGGAGACAGGAAAACCACTTCATCCAAGCTCAGATGCACTTTCAAGAAAGAGGGTACCTTATAAGGGAAAGTACTGGTCAAGGCTCCAGAAAGCAAAAAAAAAGCAAACTTCTTTGATATGGAGCTGAGGGAGAATTGCTGGCAGGGGGTGGCTGGTGAGGCACAAGTGTGGAGTGCAGCAGAGTTTGAGGACATCATACTGACACTGGGCGCCCGGGAAGGTGGGGAAGCTCCAGGGCTGAGCAGGCTGCATCAGGTGCTCCTGCAGGAGCTCAGGGCAGAGATCTAAGCCATGAGCCACACCGATACCCCTGTTCTTGTTCTTGTCAAAACTATATCACTTTCCCAGGGCTTTCATGATAAAGTGTCCCATACTGGTGGCATAAACAAAAACTTACTCTCTCACAGTTCTGCAGGCAGAATGTACAAGATTAAGGCGCTGGCAGGTTTGGCTTCTCCCAAGGCCTCTCTCCTTGGCTCAGAGGTGGCTGCTTTCTGGCCACCTCTCCATGGGGTCCTTCCTCTGTGGGCACACATTCCTCATGCCCTAACCTCTTTTTAGAAGGACACTCATCCTGGTGGACTAGGACCACACCTTTATGATGTCATTTAAGCTGGATTACCTCTTTAAAGATCCTAGCTTCAAATACAGTCTCTACTCAAGATCAGATGTTGACTGCTCCCCCAAAGACTGCATATTAAATCTTGGTCCCCAAAGTGGCACTGAGAGGTGATGGAAACCTTAAGAAGTGAAGCCTAGGGCAGGTCTTTAGGTCACCGGAGGCACGGCCCTAAAGGGAACCGTGGGACCCTGGGCTCTTCCTCTTTAGCTCCCTGGCTGTGAGTTGAGCTGTTCACCCACCAGAAGCCCAAAGCAATGGTCCACTTCACACTGAACTGGAACTTCTAACACTGTAAGTTAAAATAAAGTCTTTTCCCTTTATAAGTAAATTATCTCAGCTATTTTGTTACAGTGACGGGAAGCTGACTGACACGGTCACATTCTTGGGTCCTGAGGGCTGACGTCAACAAATAAATGTTAAGAGGTGGGGGGACCAATTCAGCCCATAACAGGAACTTTTAGAATTTTTCTGAGTATAATGTTAATGTAAAGCCACAGTGGTTACAATTTACTGAGCTTGGCCTACAACGAAGCCTCAGAATTTACCAATGAGGTCGGTAGCATTATTATCCACACTTCAGCGAGGAGGAAACTGAGGCGTGTTGTCCCTAAGCAACCCACCAGGCCACCACCAGCTGCCCAAGGCTGCACTTATGACGCCACCTTCTTCCGCCTCTGCTCTTGTTTGTTACTGAAAAATGTGCAAGAAAATGTGTAAGAGATATAAAAGTAAATAAATAAAAGTCGCCCACAATCTCATCTATCCTCCTTAAAACTGGCTGACATCTTGGACATTGCATTGTTGTCACCAGGGCTAAAGGAGAGGTGCAGAGGTCTGAAAGCTGCACCCACAGAGCCTCCACGGGGGTGGGAAAACCCAAGGATACAGGCCTGACCTGGGTGTGACCGGCAGGTTCCTTTATCCGTGCAGAGCAAGCCCCACTGAAAACGAGACAGAACAATCATCAGCAGAATGCTAACTCAGGCAGTGGAACAAATCTTCCTCCTACATCACCTAATTTTATTTCCTATATTTTTCAAATGTGCTATCATGAACATGTGGGCATGGTGACTTCTGAGAACAATAAACGTCGTAAGAGAAAAATCAGACTGCGCATGCTCAGAGCACCCAGGCCAGCCCCGGAGACTTTCTCCCGATGGGAAGGGACACAAAGACAGCAGACTGGGTCTGTGCGGAAACCGACTGCAAACAATATCCTGAGTGAGCAAAGCAACAAAAGAGCCACCTCCCTAAAGGCAGCCCAGCCAGGCCATTCAAATAGTAAAAATGACGCAGGCACTTGGAAACAAAGTTCCAGCTTTCCACCGAGCTTCCTGAGCCAGTGCAAACAGCAGGCCGGAACAGGAAGCCTGCACTGCCCACGTCCCTGGGGTCTGGTGGCTGCCAACTGTGCCAAGAGCCCTGAGGGCCTAGAGAGCCCCATCTCTCCCCACCAAGGGGAGGGTCAGCTCCTGCCCCCAACGCCCGAGCAGAAGCAGACAATGCCTCGCTTCCACCCCAGCAGCCCAGTCCCGCCAAGCTTGTCTTGCCCTTGGACGGGGACCCCCCACAGGCCTGGGCCGCAGCTGGACCTCAGTCCCACCACGGGCCACCTGCTTCCTCCCAGGCTGCACAGCCAGGAGCCAGCAGGGCAGACACAATGGGCTGGACCCACGTCAGATTCTTAAGGGAAGAAAATTAGTGTTTGTGGACCAGGAGATCAGGACAGGACATCTGTAACTGTTTCCAGAGAAGCCAAGTCCACAAACCCTTCCTCCCCAAGCACTTCCGAAATGTGGCACAGCACACCAGCTCTTTAAATATCCAAACCCAGAATAAATGTGCATGCAGCACCTCCCCGGCAACGCGGGCCACACGCTGCCAGCTGAGTCACACTAGGGAAACGTGCGAGCTGGGGGGCTTGGGAGAGCAAGATCAACAGGGCGAGGCCCCTGCCCGGCGCAGGCACCCTGTCCTCTCATGGGGAGCGGCACCTCACACTGCCTCCCAGGAGGCCGCACTCTCAGGGAGTCACTGCATCACCTGGGGCTTTTCAGTGAGACGTGCTGTTCGCGGCAAAGTTGGGGCTTAAACCAGGTCTGCAGACAACTCCCTGGATTCTGCGTCCTGGTGACTGCTCTGCGTTGGAAGCTGTTGGATGAGCTTTGAGATGCCTCCAGATAGAGTTAGACAGGCATTTCCGATAGTCCCGAATGTTTACCTTCTTAGCTTATATCGATGATTTTTGTTTTTCACTTTAAAATCTTTTTATCTTTGGTAGATGCCTTTTATCAGCCCTCAAGATGTGAAACAGACAGAAACAGCTGTTCTGTGGAAGCAGGGACAGGGACCAAAGTGCCCTCACCCACACTTCCCACTACCCCTGGCCCACAGACCACATCCCGGGCCTCGGGCTGTCGGCAGTGACTCTCAGGCACTGGACCAGGCTGCACCCTGCAAGCTTGCACATACCTGACAATCCCTTGATTCACCATTCTCTGACTCTAGAGAGTGAGGAAGCTTCTCTAGGCTCCTACCCAATCCTCCACCAAACTCGGTAAGATGACAAGAGACCGAGAGATGTACTGAATTTCAGGATACCCAGAGCTCATCGAGGAAATGTGCAGCCTAAGCCTCACACAAATTCTTGGTTCTTTCGTTCTCCCAGCAAAAACTGAGTCCTTCCTGCTTTTGGATCTTAAATGTCCCCCAAGAAGCCTTGTGGTAAAGGCTTGGCCTCCAGCGAGACAGTATCGGAGGCGAGGAAAACCGTAAGTGACGGGCCAATCAGGGGTCTTTGTGTCCCTTAAGGGGACAGCGGGACCCCAGCCCCTCCTTCTTTCCCCTCTTTTCATTTCCTGCCCTCAAAATAAGCAGTTTTGCTCCACCACAGGCTCCTGCCGTGATGTGCTCGCCCAAAGCAATGGGCCCACAGATCGTAGACCGAACCCTCTACAACTGTGAGCCAAAATGAACCTTTCCTCTTTATAAGCTAACAATAGCAAACACCTGCTAGAGTCACACAAAGCTGGCTAGCACTCTGTGTCACCCCAGTGACAGACACAGCAGATAGGCAGCAACACAATTCATGGTCTTTATTCCTCAGGAGATTATGTGCAAAATCCAACATATAAACAAAGAAAATTATGACCACTTCAGGTCTTTTTTTCACAGATTCTTGATCCAGAACTGCCCTCTCCAGAAAAGGATTTATGGATGAAGTGATGTTTGAGGAATCCAGACCTCAACAGCTGGACCTGAGAGAGGGGTGTGCTTCCAGGTGAGAAAACGGCACGTGCAAAGGCCCAGCGGCTATGGGGTCACACAGACTGGGCCCCGGTCACTCTGGGTGACAGTCACAGAAACAGTGAAGTGAGTCACATCCCTTGGAATTGGCCAGGCAGCAGCCCTACTAGAAAGCAAGGGTGCATTCCAGAATTGTGAGCTTGACTGGACTGACCCTGGATGGAATCCAGGTGGTGCTGAAGAGAGAGATTAGGCACAGAGGCAGGCCGGACAGCAAGCTCAGGGGACCTGAGGCGCCATACTCTACTCTGCACTCAGCAGGTAGCTTGTTTGCTATTTGCCTTTGCCCTGAGCAACGTTCACAGCTCTTCTGCGTTTGTTATTTTGAGACAGGGTCTCTCTAAACCAAAGGCGGGCCTCAAGCCTCCCAGAATGTTGTGATTGCAGCCATGTACCACCACGCCCAATCAGCTGCTAAGAGTTTTTGAGCAGGTAAATAACAGCAGGCTGAAGCCCATGGAAAGGTCTGAAGGGAAGGGAACGGGAGGCCACCGGGCAGTCAGAGCGGCCGCTGCAAAGACAGGGTCGGCTCTAGAGGACAAGGCGGAGGACGAGCAGGGGACGGCGGGGCAGGCTGCCACCAGGGTCCGCCACAGGTGTGTTTTGCGCACTCCAGGGGTGTGGCGGGCCTCCTGTGGCAGTGCGCATGCCTCGCCCACATCCCTACACACACGTGTGCACGCCGAAGTTTCGGTGGAGAGCGCCTGACTCCAGGGACGCCCACCCCGCGGCTCCTCCTCCGCAGTCAGCGCTCACGCATCACACAAAGCTGAAACAGTCGGGCCTCCGTGAGGAGAGCAAGAAAGGGGAATTCTCCCGGCCCACACTGCCCAGCTGAGCAATGCTCGTCAGGGTAAACAGCACCGAAAATAATCACAGTTGCTCGCCACTTGGAATATTATTATGCGAACAGTTGGTGGATATGAACTGTTTTTAAAACAGGCTATCAAAACAAACCCGGGGAGAACATCTGTGGGGCCGCGGGCCTGGGAGTCAGGGGGAGGAAGGAAGCCAGGAAGCCGCCAGCCTCGTCAGGTGTCTTCCTGGACGTCCCCGCCCCGGCCAGGGGAGGTGGCCGGAGGCAGAACCTGAGGGAGGGGAAGATCTGGCGTACAAAGATAAGGAAGCCAGGAAGCCGCCAGCCTCGTCAGGTGTCTTCCTGGACGTCCCCGCCCCGGCCAGGGCAGAACCTGAGGGAGGGGAAGATCTGGCGTACAAAGCAAGACCAGAAATCCCCCCGGGAGAACAATGGGCACAGGTGAGCCGGCAAAGGAGGGGCCCAGGCTCCTGCGTCCAACCCCACAGGGCTTGGTCAGCCCGACCTCGCACAAGCAGATGTTATTTATAGGCTGAGCTTGAGATCTGTTATTTATTATGTCATTTATGGAAATAAATCATAGGCCCTTCCTTCCTTGCCGTTCCAGCCCGATACAGAGAGGTTTTCAGGCATATAACGGCTTTGCTTTGTTTAGCTTATTTTCCTCCTTATAAAACTTAGCTAACAAGGACAAGGATAACAAATGTTTATTATTTTAAAAGGAGGCCTGCGCTGAGGAAGTTTTTGGAGCAAAAAGACAGCAGAGCTGGGTGGTGGCCACCCCACAGGGGAGCGGTGTCACCCCGATGGCCCTGGCCCTTCTTTCCTTCTTGCTGACCTGGAGCAGGGAACAGCTTTCAAAACAATTCTACAGAGGAGTCTTCCAGGGGGCTCTGTTTATGGTCTTTGTGTGTGGCGATTTTTTTAAGTAGAGAAAGGATTTCCACAGGCAGAATCACTTCCTTCCTTCCCTCTGTTCCACACTCCTGGTCCCCTAAATAAACCTTATAAGTGCTCCCCCTGCTGCTCCCCCTTTGAGTCTCCCCAGCGTGTGGGGTGCTGGTGTGAGAACTATACTGCACTTACAGAGTAAGGGGAAGCAGGTTTGAAGGTAGGGGCGATGTATGCAGCAGCAGGAAAGAGAGGAATACGTCCAAGGGCTCTTCACTGCAGAGCTCAGCCTTCACCCTCCAGTCAGTTTTATCAGCAATACACATACTATTTTGATATAGAAAAATAAAAACGACTAATGACCCATGGGGTAGGGCATCCACACAAACTGGAGATGTAACAAAGGAGACAACAGATACAAACCCCATCTGTAATCCTAGACTCAGAGCCCGGGCCCTGGCGTAGCTTCTGGAACCTTCTTCCTCCTCTTCCTGCCTAGCATGTGACCCTGCAGAGATGCCTATGCCTCCTCAGCCAGCCTCCCTGAGCCGCAGGCTCTCGCTCCTCTCTCAACAATGGGAAACTACAGCCTTGGGATTCCCTGACCGGCAAGATGGCCGCCCTCCAGCCAACGCTGGGCCCAGAGGCCAGGCCAGATGCATTCTGAGGTTCCAGGAGTTGGGAAGGGCCAGCGAGGTGTCATGCCTGGGAGGCCTTTGCCCTGTGGGGCCTCCCAGCCAACTACAGTGAAAATCTTCCTTTTCAGCCAGCACCGATATTCTACAAGCAGCCTTGAAAAGGCGGGAGAGGGAAAGACCCAGCCAGTGTGAGGAGGTGTCACCCAGGAAACAGCCCCAGGCAGTCCAGACTGAGGGGAAGGGAAAGGCCAGGCCCTGTAGGGCTTGGGCGGAAGCCCATAGGTGTGGTAGTTTTGTTCTGAAGGCAGGAGGAATAGAGAGGAGGTGGTCAAAAGAGCGGATGAGGGCGCTCAGAGCACATCTGGTGGGAAAGAGAGACACAAATAAAAGATGATCTGAGATTGGCTGGCGCACAGGGGAGGATGTTTGCGGGAAAGGTTCAAGCGCTGGAGCTGGGAAGATGGTCCTCACCACAGCCAGGAGCAGACACTGGCCTGGTGCATGGGATTTCTAGACAGAGAGACGTTCAAGCCCACATAACTTTACCCCAGTTTGCTGAACAGGGGCCTGCTCTCCAGGTATAGGAATGAGAAAGAATTTTGGGAATGCTTCAGGTCATTATAGGGAAGCCATACAATTAGGAAAAATATAAGATGATGTCTTTATTTGAACTTTTTTGTATAGCAAGAGCTTTCTACCAATAACAGGACCAACTTCCATGTGCAATAATGACAGGCAGCCTCACAGATGGACCTCAAAAGAAGCCAGAAAGAAGCATGAAAGAAGCCAGACACACGAGACTTAGGATAAGATTGTGTCTGTGCACCTCCAAAGCAGACAACACACAAACTAATCCATGCATCTGGGGTCAGAAAACTGGGCGCCCATGGGGTGCTGACTGGGAGGGACCACCGGGGAGCCTTCTGAGTGCTTGGCCTGGGTGACACTTAGCCTGCATATAATGCATAGGGAGTCACTGGGTTGTATAAGAATTCTGCACTGTTTTGCAGTTTATTGTTGACAATGAAGTTTTTAAAGTGCAGTGCATAAGTGTATTTGCTTCCTATGGCTGCTGTAACAAATTAGCACAAATTTAGTGGCTCAAAACAATGCAAATTTATCAACTTATAGCTCTGGAAGACAAAAGTATACCATGATATGCCAACAGGGCTATGTCCCTTCTAGGGACTTCTGGGGAGGACATCAGTTCTCTGCCCTTTCAGGTTTTAGAAGCCACTTCTGCCATTTGGCTCAAGGGCTCTTCCCAAGGCAGTTGGACCTCTGGCTTTGGTCACTGCACCTGAGGCTGAGGGCACAGAGAGTCTTTGACCTGCCCGTCTCTCTTCTCTAAGGACTCTTGTGATGGCCTCAGGCCCACCCGGGTAACCCCAAGCAACCTCAGCAACCTCAAAACACTTAATTTGGTTTCAGCTACAAATCCTTTTTGCCATGTAAGGTAGCCTGTTCCCTGTGGGGAGAGGGACATGGACACTCTGGGGACATTACTCAGCCTATCATGATACAATTACATGACAGTCAAGGTCCTCCTCACACAGGCAGGACGCTCCTTCCAGACTAAATCGGTTCAATGAATGTTAAATTGGTTCATTAATGTTAGCTGCTGTTGGAAGACAGAAACCCCAGAATCCCCATGGCTCTATACAGTTCAACGAGGCCCAGCATCTCCAAAGTATCCCTGGATCGAATTCAGCTTTGATGGGAATTTTTCACCTTTATATTATTTTCTCTGCTTTTATCGTTTTCTTTAATAATAAGTGTAGCCAATAAATCACATCACTGTTATCAATGACTGTAATGCTATCGCCAGCAGATATTTTCACATCATCTTAGTTAAGAGTTGTTGCATCTCCAAGGTATGTATGATGCTATGGTTTTAGATTTCGATCGCTGTACTTCCATACCTAGTTTCATCTAGTATTTTATTTTTTCCATTTAAAAACATTTTTGAGAAGTGGCCCCTAGTGAACATCCACACAGATACAGAGCAAGTTAAAAACCATGCAATGTGGTTTTCCTTTCTCCTGCAAATTTTGGTTCAGATTTCCTGCTCCTCCTGCCCCAAAGCCACCCCCATCTGGACCCCAGGGCATCCACGTGACCCCAGCAGGCCTTGATGGTGCTGGCTTCTTGCTGGGCTTAGTACCCAGGACAGAAAGCTTCCCCAGCCTCTCTGAAGAATGGAGGATCTTAGCCCAAAACCTTGGGGCAGAGTCTTCTCAGCCCCTTGGGGAATTTCTTATGTGATGCATGGTCGGTTAGGAAGTGAGGAAACAAAGCTTCTTTCCTGCATCTTCCCAGGGTTCCAGACTGAAGGGCCAGCTGAAGGGCACAGTGACCCAAACACTTGGCTGCCCCTAGCTTTACCCCTCTGCTAAACTAATTCCAATCCCACCCCTTTTTCTCTCCCCAAGCCAAGCAAGGACTGCTGCACTTTTTTCTACCTGATGTGAAGGAAACAAAATTCTATAGCTTGTTGCTGCGACTGCGCTGTGGTTTTTCTTCTTCTTTAGGTCCCGTCCGTAGGTCCAGTTGGGATCTTGGGTACTGTGAGGGCTCAGACACCTCCACCACCTCCTCCTGGCCCGGCTCCCTTCTCCCAGAGGCACAGCCCTACGGGGCTGCAAAGCTGCCTCATCTCCAGACTCGCCAACCTCCTCTCTCCACGCGTCACCACTCTGCCTTTGACCCCGGATGCTCTGCCACTGAGTTGGCGTTGCAGCGGCTGGAATGTGTCCCTGCAAAAGGCAAGCACTGGAAACTTAGTCCTTGGATGCAACGGAGTCAGGACGCGGGAACTCACGGAGGCCGTTCCTCTTGAGGGCTCTGTCCCCGCGAATGGCCAGTGCCACAACTGCGGAGTGGGCTTGTTGGAAAATGGTGAATTCTGTTTTCTCTCTCTCTCCCTCCACCATGGCGTGACACGGCGAGAAGGTCCTTGCCAGAGCAGCACTTTGATTTTGGCCTTCCCAGCCTCCACAACTGTGAGGAATGCATTCTCTCCTTTGCAAGTTTCCCGGTCCCTGGCATCTGTTATAATAGTGCAGAACGGACTGAGACACGGTTTCCATCTGAGAGCGGAGAGTGGAGACTCCATAGGGCCACTCACTGGAAAGGCCCCTCTCCCAAGTTCTCCTTTCCTGTAGAGGCCTGAAGTCCTCCTGTGGACCCAGAAAAGGGGGTGCTTTTCCACCTACAAATGCTGGCTCCAGGGTCCCACTGGTTTGGGCTTTGTCCAAATAACTTCTCCCTCCCTTTGCGCTGTGAGAACGCTGCTCACCGCACTCCACCACGAGGGTGAGGAAGCAACAGAGCCAATTTAACCCCCACTGCGACCTTGGAGCTGCGCAGGCGCCCCCTAGGGAAGTGTGAAAGGCCCTGGATAGAGTCAGGTGTCCTCCTGTAACTCGAGTATTGGGTATTTTGTCCCAGCAACAAGAAAGTAACTAAGACAGAAGAAAAGCCAGAGGCAGGACACGAATGCACCACAAACCACAGGCCTCGTCAGGGGGCCGGGCAGGCGGGCAGGTGTGCGCCTCCATGCAGGAGGAACTGAGGAGCACTGGAGGAGCTGGAGGCTCCAAGACCAGCACTGCGGAGAATGCAAAGGGGATGCATCTGTTTCCTGCCCCCAGTGAAGTACCCCAAGCTGGGTGGCTTGGGACCAAAATGGTCTCAGTTTGGGGCTGCAAATCTGAAACCAAGCTGCAGCAGGGTTAATTCATCTCTGGCACTTTCTGGAAAGAACCCATTGCGTGATGCTGTCCCAGCTCCTGGTGGTTGTCACAATCCTCAGTGATCCTTAGCTTGTAGCAGCATCACCCCGGCTCTGGCCACTGCTATCCCAAGGCCTTCTCCCTCTGTGTCTCTGGGTCGATATGTCCCCCTTCTTTCAAGGACTATGGTCCTATCGTGTTTAGGGTCTGCCCTAACCCAGTATAGCCTCATCTAAGTTTGGCTATATCTGCAAAGACCCTGGTTCCAAATGAAGTCACATTCACACATTTCCAGTGGAAATTTACGGGAATCATGCAACCCGCAGTACTAGGAAGGGGGGAGGGGGAAGTGAGGCGGGGGGAGAAGAGAGGAACGGTGAGAAGGCCGAGAGGAGAGGCATGGGGCTGCTGAGGTCTGATCGGAGCGACACGTCCACTCAGACGCGTGTGCGGAGGGCATGATCACCAGTACAGCAATGCTCAGAGAAACTGCAGACTTTGAGACGTTTGTGGCAGGAAATATCCAAATTCTCAGCAAATGGTGCCAAGAAAACATTCTTGCCCTTCCCTGAAGAGAGGGCCCTGCTCCCCACACCTTCTCCAGGTGCTGTCTGGACAGAGCTGCTCTGGGCCAGCAGTAGCTGGTGGACAGGGTACCTCCCATGGGCATCAGTGGGCCCTCAGAACAAGGAGCTGCAGCCCATCTGGGCCGATGGAGCTGGTCCTGGGCACAGCGATGTCATGGAAATGCACATCCCCAGTGCAGGCCCCCAGGTCCTGTGCCCCACATGCCCAGCCCCACCAGCGTCCGGAGTCCTCCTCCCCTCACCTTGCCGAGACACACAAGGGACGCAAGGCAGAGTTGTAAGGTCCGTCCCGCCCGGCGGCTGCCCTGTGCCATTGCTCTCTGTGGCCAGCATTGTGCCTACACCTCGCTGTGGTAGACGTCCCCCGGCTCTGCTCTCTGTACTCCTCATTCCTAGGAGGCTGCCTATTCTCCTGCAGGGCCCTGGCCATGTGTCTCCCCGACTTCTGCTCCTTCCTGGCCTTTCTGTCATTGGTGCTGGGCTGTTTCTGACTTAAGGATCCTACCTGGCCATCCCCTGGGACTGTACTGCCTGACAAGCATGCGGGGCGGGCGTGGTCCCATTGTGCCCCCGGGGCTCCACATTCACTGCCCAGAGCTCATCTTGTCTCCCGGGACCTGCTGCTCCCCTGTTAGCACCTCGCTGCATGTCTTCCCCTTGGTCCTCAAGCCCCACAGGCACCTGCTGACTGGTCCCTTCCAGTCCACCCCCACTCAGCATCCAGGGAGATCTCCTGAAAACATATCTGATGATTTCACTTTAACCAATCTTTACATTATCTTGAGACTTTATTTTTTGTACCAGGGATCCAACTCAGGACCTTCCCCTTGCCAGGCAGGCGCAGGGCCACTGAGCTATCCCCAGCTATCTTGAGAGTTTAAATGCTTGTTTTTGGTTTCCCTTTGCCAAACATATTTTTCTCAGTCTGGTTCTAGCAGGCTCTGTGTGTGTGTGTGTGTGTGTGTGTGTGTGTGTGTGTTGCTGGAGACTGAACCCAGCACCTTCACAATGAGCTACATCTCCAGCCCTTTTTTAATTTTTATTTTGAGGTAGGGTCTCATTCAGTTGCTCAGTTGCTCAAGCTGGGATCGAATTTACATGCTTCCTGCCTCAGCCTCCCAGACTGCTGGGACTACAGCTGTGCATCATGCCTGGCTCAGCCAAGCTTTTAAAACCTTGAGGCCCACGTACATGTAGGCGCACGCACTCACTCACACACGTCTGCCTGTGTGCTGTGCCACCTCCTCACACGTGTAGTCATCTACAGTGCCGGTATCTGCACTTGGAGTATCGCACTGGCACCTGATTCCATTTCCTAATCATACCACACACGCGTTTCTGTGCCTTTCCTCCTATCTCCCCTCTGTTGGGACTGTCTCCCTTTTTACTCTAGCATAGGCCTAGCTTCTTCGAGACCTGGCTCAACAGTGCCACCTCTGTGAAAGCCCCTTCCAGGCAGAGTAAGTGCCCAAGGTGTCTTCAGGACGAGGAGCCACGCATCACTAATGTGCACAGAGGTCCCACAGGAGCCAGTGCCTCTGGGGGGGGGCGGGGTGAGCGTCCCAGCCCTTGGCCGGGTGTGTCTGTCTCTTCTAGGGACTCCCAGTCCCCAGAACCGGACAACAATCGGGGTGCAGAGGGCCCCAGCCCTGGCTGGGTGGTGTCCCCAGGAAAGCAGGAGTGGCTCAGTGTCCCAGATTACTACTGAAACTCCCAACACGGCTGTTACATAATCAAGCAGGCCTGGCCGCCCACTTGGTGTGAGAAACGGGGAGACAAAGTCAGGAGGGGATCACCTGGGGCACACAGGGACTCACTTCGCACTCCACGTGTCCTGGGGAGCGGGCCCTGGACCTCCCTGGGCAGGAGGACAAAGGGTCAAGCACAGAGCATTCTCACTTGTGGTCACCCACTGTCCCTGCTGTAAAAGAACATTTGCAGTCCAGAGATTTCTGCAAAAATCCAAAGTGTAACCCTCACAGAAATTCTATTTTTTAGAGGATTCTAGCATGGCCTAGACAGTTTTCTTTCCCGTTTTTTTCCTTTTTCTTTCTTTTTTCCCCTTCGTCCAGTTTAAAGAACAAAGTATTTGGGAAATTACCTCACAGAGTCATGCCACCAACACGAAATGAGAACCATCTGTACAGATAAAACAGTTAGTTAGGAGCTTTTGTGGCACAACGGGCCGAGATGTGTAGCTCATTCAGTCTCAGAGGGGACACTTTATTCCCGAATTTCTTTTTTTTTCTTCTTCTTCTTCTTCTGCTCTTTTTCCCTCACACAGAAGAAGGCTCAGTCAGCTCATAGGAAACAGGAAGGAACCCGTTGTTTTAAATAGCAGACAGCAGAGAATTGACCCATTGTGGTCTGTTCATTCAGCAGTGTGGGGCAGGAGCAGAACGCTCGCCCCCGCATTCCCAAGATGCCGGCGGAGGGGCACGGCCAGGCTCTGCTCAGACGCTGGGAGAATTCAGTTCAGGCCCTTCCAAAAGCAACTGGCGAAGCCCTGGGCTTTTATTTTACTAGAGACTTTACTACACTGCTGTCTTGAAAAAAAAAAAAAAGACAAAAACAAAGCTCCAGTAAAAACTTACAAGAATACCTGGAAGTCAGAAAACATCTTGTGTTTCCCTTCCTACCCTGCTCTACTCCAAGTCCCACAGACTCAGCTTCCAGCCTCCCTGCTTATCTTGGCAACAGCCACTCTTCACTTTCCTGGGCTCCAGAACAGTTGGCCTAGCAGTGGCATCTGCAGGGCCCAAGAGCCCCATAGAAAGGCAAAGGCACATGGGCAACCCCCAGCCACCCACCCGCACCCCACCCAGTGCTGTTCGGCCCAAGAGCCCAAAGGTTAACAACCTTAAATTCATCACTGCGAGATGAGCAGCAAGTCCAACCAGAAGCTGTCTTGACTCCGAGCATCACGTTTTACAAGGGCTCTGTGTCGTTTCAGACATTCAGATCAGGACCGGCATGGGATGCAAGTGGGGAGCCAGGACGAGGCCTCGCCCGCTGTGGTCCACATCACTCTCCTCAGCCCACGTCTCCTCCATCGGAGCAGAACCGGGGCCACCTAATTTCCAAGAGATGCACCTTGGAACTGAGCCTCCTGTCTCCTGCCAAGCCTCTGTTGCTGTGACCACCCCCAGTCTTGTGCTCCTGCCGGCCTCACCAGGCTGTCCCTGCCCTCTTCAGACAGTGGCAGAGCCCGGGAAGACCCTACGGACAGCGCCTCCAACCCAGCGTCTCCACAGCTCTCGAGGCCTCTGTGTTCTAACAATGAAGG